TAATCCAAATTCTAATTCCTAAATCACTGAAAATTTGATTTTAAAAACAAATGATGTGTTCCAAATTATAATTATATAAAATTTTATTTACCAAATTTTATACAAAGTTACAAAAAAAAATTTTAATAAAAATTGTACTAAAAATATTCTATGATATACAAATATACACATCAAATTTATAACTCCCTTTAAACATCTCAAGTGCCTAGTTATATATAAATCTTATATAACGTAAAGGATGACGTGAAAAGGTAACTGCCTTTGACCTTCTAAATGTCTGCAACTATAGTCAGGACTGATCCTGAGAGGTAATTAAAACTAATGCAGCTTATAAAATAAATAAATACTTAACTTTTTACATTAAATACAAGTTTTATTCCATTTAATATCAAATTCGTAATGATGTTTACATAATTATGATTACTTTTATTTTTTTATATGAACTAGTAATTCATTATTAATTTTTTAGGATTAAATTTACTGAAAAAAGTAAAATCGTAATGACAATTTCAATATTACCACAAGAAGATTTTGATAAAAGCAAAATGAGTTCGAATTATGGTCAAATTAATAAAAAAGGAACTCTTCTAATTGAATTATATGATACTGGTATTGGGTGAGCCACTTTTAAGATTATATATTTTAATGTTTTAGCATGTACATTATCTAATTATTCTTTTAACAATAATAGTATAAAACCTGAATATATGTAACATGCTTGGAAAAGTTTTTCACGAGGTGATATTTCGATTGCCAGAAAACAAGAGGTCACAAGACTTGGTCTCACAATTTGTAAAAGTCTAGTAGAAATTAATGGAGGTGAAATTAATACTGAAAGCCAGTTAGAAGAAGGAAGTAAATGTCGATTTATATAGAACATTGAACTATTATCATCAATAACACCGACTATTTAAAACTTCTAACACCCTCATTATTAGAGGCACAATTTGATACGAAAATTAACTATATATTATCCAATTTCATATGAAGAAAAGATTACTAATAATTCACTAGTCAAAAAGATGAAAAATGCAATGTTAAAATATTTTAAAATGGTTGAAAGGTTGATGTATTCGAAGCCTTTGGCGAAGGTATTAAAGCTGCCCAAACGTACAAAGAATTGTATAATTAATCTGCTTATAACATAGCATTCATCAGCCTTTATGAAGATAATGAAGAAGAGGTTATGAAAATATCATTAAAATTAAAAGTGTTAGATATAAATAGCAATAGGCTAGCTATAATTTTTATAGTATTTCTGAATAATGAAGGAAATAGTTTAGCAAAAAAATTAATCAGAGAAGTTGGAGAAATCACTTCTGTTATTTATATGCCAATTACAAGAAAAAAGTTAATTAATCAAATTATATATCTGAAAAAAAACAGTGCTGCTAGCAAAAATAATACAAATCCACAGATCAATGAAAGCAAATATACAAATATTCTTAAGTAAGTATCAAACTGCAAAATTTATAAGATTGAAGATGCAAATCAAGATATATATAAGAACATAAATTGGAAGAGATTTTGAGAGCAAGTGTATTTTATGTGTGGTATCCATTTACTTTGTCCAAATAATGCATGTTTACTTTCTGATCTGGATTGCTAAATATAAAATATCTTTTATTGATTTAGTCAGTTAATATTAATATCATTTAAATTATTCAAGCCTAGCCCTTTATGCTCTCAAAGACATTTGAGTATTATAGAATAAAAATCTATAACTATATTTAATGAGTTACTACTATTAGTTACAAGTTTTTACTTTCACTCATTTTATATATTATTATAAAATTTATTGCACTCAAATATTCTGTACCAGGTTTTGTCGATCATCTATCACATGATTATTTTTTGGTTACACAATTATGCAACTTGTAGATCATGCCCATAGTTTCCGCACATGCTTGTGTAACTTCAATATTGTGCTTTCAATGATAAGTACAATCTCAATATAACAATTAAGAGTTCTTAATTTTTTTTGAAATTGATTATTTTTTTATAAATATCCACATGCATCTTTTGTTAACTTCTCAAGATTACTACCATTTAGTATTTAAATTTAAAGTATCAGCTAAAATTATATACCAGTTGCTGGTGTATATTTCTAATATAATACAACCTC